CCTTTTGCAAACAACCTCATGTTCTCTCATGAAAGAAGGGAACTGAGCTTCTCTGTTACTCACTTCGCTGAAAGAAAGATAGCAAGAATGGGCAGATGGATGGACCCACAATCAGGAGACTGTGTTGGACGAAACATTGAGGATGACTGTCAAAGGGGATTACAGGAGATAATCTGGGGAGGGAGCCTTGTTGTAGGGTAACAAGAAGCATTTTCTTCCTGGTGGCCATTTTGTGAACAATCTCGCTATACATTGTTTGTGAGACCAGTTAAGGTGTAGTACTAATGGATAGATCAAGGGTCACAGGATTTTTTAATATGCTGGACAGAACTGATGAAAGCCACCTCATCCACCTTCCCCCCTCCCCCAACTGATTCTGCTGAGAAAATTTATATTATACTGCATATATGCACCATCAGTGTGTTTATAAAAGGACGCTCATAATTCAATAAAATTCTTTTTTTGAATTGTGGCAAAATCCACAAATAATAGTTCTGCTGGTTCTTGAAAAAATGTTGCCATTAATTGCAGACATAGTAATGGGAAGCTGCAAGATATCAATGGTGGTAGAGGAATCTGAATTAAAAAGGGATCTTAGCTTTGTATCTACTGAGCAGGAAATAAAGAATGGCTGACCATGGCAACATGAATGTGAACATTTTTGAAAAAAGGACTTTTCTTTTGGTTTAGTCTCTAAGATTTTTATTTTTAAGCAAACTTTCAATGTGCTTTTCAAATAGCAAAACAAAAATGAATTGAAATGATAAATTGTAATGAAAACTTAAAGCTTTATATTATCCAGTATTCACAGGGGAAAGTGTAGTGTGAAAAGAAATTAATTCCTTCAGATTATATTCCTTTGCCTGCTGTTTTAATGGATATTTTGATAAAATGGTAGGCTCAGGAAGTTTTGTAACTATTTTAGTGTTCATGATATTAATTCTACAGTTTGAGTTCACATTCATTCCTGTTTTCATAATAATTTATTTAATACAGTGACTATTGATATTTTCCACCTGTTACAGAAGATCCCAATGGTCAGATGCTTAATAATTCAGAGCTAATTACATAAACATGTATTATGAGATGGATAAATTACCTTTAATTATATTCCATTGAATATTTGAAGTCTGTAACTCAGCAATTATCCCAAACTTTACAGTTTCAGTGTGAAAAAGTAATTATGCAAAAAGATGCAAAGGGATTGGAAGACAACATAATAAATTGTTCGAAACATATGGTCCAGAGCTTCCATGAAATTTTGGAACAAACTAAATATGTTGTGCCCCTTTCTTTGCAGGGAAATGTGTGTATAACTAATTTAGACTGGCTTTATGTAAGACCATGCAAATCTTCTTGTTTATTTGAACAGTTCTCAAAATGCACTCTCTGAAACCTGTCAGTCATTCTGTTACATGGTTTCCATCTCCTGTTGCAAAAATGTCACTTGTGAAAGCTTTTTGCATCTATGTTATTTTTAAGCTGAGGTGTAATATCACTCCAGGACAGATGCAATAAAGCCTCAAGTCTGTCGCTATTGGCATAAGTGAAATTTAGTAATAGTTTTTGGTTAGTTTTTTTCTTACTCAGGCCCGAACTCAACTAATGTGTTTATATACTATTAAACTGATTACACCTGAAAACTTTCAGATGCCTGCTATCTAAACCCAACCTCTATGGATTCAAGAGGACTACTCAACTGCAATGGCCTTTCCAAAGCGCTGGTCCACATGATGTTGGAAAAAGGGTAACAGTTGGAATGGGATCCATATGTGACACAGAATGGAGAAACTTGCCATTAATTCTACTGAGGTCATGGTAGCTACTGTGTTTCAGGCAGGTTTTTAATGTCCTATTGTAAGTAATACAGTTCAATGGGAAAGTTTGCTGTAAGTTCCTTTTAACAAGGACAGAGCAGAACAGCAAGAATTTTCAGTGCAATCCAGCAAATCTTGTGCCATCATCTCATGTGGATTGAACCGTACAATGTTAGGTTGTCTTACCTTTTACAAAAAGCCTTTTATAATTAATATTGCAAATGTTCAGGCTGTTCATTCACACAGCTGACATTTTAACTAACTCTGTTATCTGCTCAAGCTTGGAGAGGTGTTGATCTAGGAAAGGGATTAGAAAACATTTGGAGTGTAAACAAATCGCACTTTGTGTTTGGTGACAGACCATTTGCTTTCATAATGCAGAATCCATTCCATTACTTTTAAAAGATTTCACGCCATGTTTTGAGACAGATGCAGTCGGGCAATTGACTGTGACAGAAAGGAGCAGGAAGTGGAGAGCAGGGTGTCAGCACATTGAGCACATCATTGAGGAAGATGGTCTAAAGAACAGTAATGGCAAAGAATAAAAAAAGTCTCTTTTTTCAAAAAAATGTGTGCCCTGTTGTGTCTCCATGGAGTTCAGTAAGAGGCTATCCTATTAAAAACAATTATTCAGTAAAATAGATGTAAGAAAGTGAATGTGGGTGCTAAAAAGTCCAATGATAACAAAGGAAAAGGTTGGAAACTGAAAGTAGGAACAGTTTATAAGTGCAGAAATGGAAAATACACTCCAACTTAAGCAAGTCAAAAGGCTGAAAAAAAGAGTCAATGAAATGTAAATTGTTGGAAATACAAGTGTATTGTGATGAAGTAATTTGGCCTGATTTGGTAAACATAAATAACATAGAAACATAGAAAGTAGGAATAGGGAGTAGGCCATTCAGCACTTTGAGCCTGCTGTGCAATTCACTATGATCATGGCTGATCATCCAACTCAATTGCCTGTTTCTGTTTCTTCCCTATATCCCAATGAACCCGTTAGTCCAAATGCGATATTCAATTCCTTCTTGAAATCGTACACTGTTTTGGTCCTGACTGCTTTCCAGGGTAGCAAATTTCACTGGCTCACCACTCTCTTGCTGAAGGAATTTCTCCTCATCTCAGTCCTAAATTGCTTATCCCTTATCCCTGGTTCTGGACTCCCACGTCATTGGGAACATCCTTCCTGCTTCTACCCTGTCTAGTCCTGTTAGAATTTTACGGATTTCTATGAGATCTCTCCTCATTCGTCTGAACTCTTGTGAATATAATCCTAACGAATTCAAGCTCTTCTCAGATGTCAGTCACGCCTTCCCAGGAATCGGTTTGGTAAACCTTCACTGCACTCCCTCTACAGCAAAAACACCCTCCCTTCCTCAGATAAAGAGACCAAAACTGCACACGACATTCCAGGTGTTGTTCCACCAAGGCCCTACATAATTACAGCAAGACATCCTTGCTCCTGTACTGAAATCCTTTCACTGAAGATCAACATACATTTGCCACCTTCACTGCCTGCTGCACCAGAATGCTTGCCTTCAGTAACTGGTGAATGAGGACACCCAGTTCTCAATGCCCATTCCCCTCTCACAACTTATAGCCAATCAGATCTGCCTCCCTGTTTTTGGCACCAAAATGGTTAACCTCACATTTATCCACATTATATTGTGTCTGCAATGCATTTTCCCCTCACTCAACTTGTCAAAATCATACTGAAGCCTCGCTGCATCCTTCTCACAGCTCACCCTCCCACCCAGCTTTGTGTCATCTACAAATTTAGGAGATATTACATTTAGTTCCCCCAGAGATCAAAACTACATGCATTATTTAGTCTGTTTTTACAAACAATCACGAAGATTGGATGATGCTGAAGATAATTTGAATGATCTAAACGAATATAGACTAAAAATAATATGAAACACTGTAATGATAGTTACAATTTTATAATTTTCTCGTACATTATAAATTCTTTGAAATTAAATTTATATATTAGTTTGGCGATTTGTTTATACGTTACACAACAGTTGAATTAGCATCATTATTGTAGAATAAATGAGTCAAAAACAAGTAAGTTATAGGAATATATTATTTTGCATTGTAATTAAGAAGGTGAAGGCTTCATACATGGTGTAATTTAATATATTAGCAATATGTATGGGAAGATTTATCATTTGTATTCATACTCAACAGATTAAACTATTGTTTTCACACGCTTAATCCACATATATCTGCTCCTGGTTCTGAATTGAATAAAATGGGAATAGACACAAGTTTCCTGCAGTAGCATTTAATACTGTAACCAATTAATGTTTCTTACCTGCAGGCAGGGCTGCACAGAAACACTTAGATGAATGCTGCTACTGAGCAGCCATATAATAGCTACAAATCACCATGATGGATATAAACTGGCATTTACAGCAGGAGCATCAGACTGAATCAATCAATCAATCATCGTCCAGCTGTGTAGCATCAGAATTAATCAAATGCATCATTTACATCAGCAGCTCCCAGAGTTTGTTATATTCTATTATAGAGCAAGAAAGAATTGAACAGGAAACCAAACTCTCACTGTGCAGGGAGAAACTATTGCTTCATCAACCTGTTTTACAATATAGGTCCAAAGATGTGCAGCTTAGGTGGATTGGCCTTGCTAAATTGCCTGTTGTGCCCAGAGATTTGCAGGCTGGGTGGATTAGACATGGGAAATACCGGGTTACAGGGATAGGGCAGGGGTGTGGGTCTGGGTCAGACCCTCTTTGGAGGGTCAATGCGGGCTTGATTGGCTGAATAGCCTGTTTACACACTGTAAGGATTCCATGTTCTATGTTCAAGTCAGAACTGACCACTGGCAACAGTAAAAGCTAAAAATCTGGTGCATTTATGTTTCCCTATCTACTATTTTCAAAGATATGTTAACCCCTCTAAAATAAAAAAAATTCTGGCATTAAAGTAACAGGCATATGAATGCAAAATGAATTCTTCTATTTGTATCACAGCTTGAAATGTTTAAATGCAACAGTGAGCAGAGAATACATTGGTGATTGGAAAGGCAGCTGTTCGATGATAATCCCCTAGTTTATTGTTCAATAATACACTCACTGCTACAGAGTTTGCCTTCAAACTTTGAATCAATTAAAAACTCTATAATTAGGCTTCAGCTTCCTGTTCCAATTGCAGTGGAACCTGTGTCACTATAATAATGAGACTCTAGAGGCTGCTGATCGTAAGCATCAGCTGCAGTCTCCCGCTGGAATCCTTGACAGTGTATTTAAAGATGAGGAGAAAACTGTAGAAGATGGGCTGACAATAAAGGTAAGAGAGATCAGTCTGATTCATTTTTAAAATACAGTCAATGCTTCAGGGAATATAGGCAAAGTGCCCGTTTGAACAGTTTGAAACTGGAAGTTTTTTCGATACTTGAAAGGTCACGAAATATGATATGGTTCAGGAAATTATATGAAGTGTTTAGTTGATCAAGCATGGCATTACAAGCAGGTAAGCAGGGTTGGGGGTACTGAAATGATTGGATGAGGCTGTGCATATATATTTCGGTCCCCATTTTAAAGACATACAATGTGGCTTTTGATATATTATTGCAGTTGAATTCTTCAATTGATCAATCACAAAACTTACAGCAGTCTGAGAAGCCGGGAAATCAAGATAATTGAAGCACTGGAGTTTCCCTGCCATTTAAGTAAAGAAGTAGGAAGGTACAAAAAGGAAATGCCACCATGTTGGCATAGGAGTGATATCACAACCTGAAAAGTTTACATTGAGAGCCGACGTTATGGGCTGTATCTTATGCTCTTTCTGGCTAAGCACATATTGCCTCCAATTTCCTGGAGCGATTTCCGCCATGATACCTATTAAATTTTCTCACCATATCTTACCAAATTCACATCATAATCAACCTACCCCACCCGTACAGCATCTACCACTTCTGATTCAATTCCTACCTTACTGTGTGCCACTCCCAGAATGAGATGCCATTCAGAGGTATCCATCAAAAGGTATCTATCCATTGTATGCACGCCACCTTTAAAAGGCTGAACAAGCACTGGTATTCAAAAGCTGCCCTACTTGGTCAAGGAGATTTGTAAAAGATATCGGACACGGTGAAATGTTACGACAATTCTCCAACAAGATGTGGAGGTTCTGACTGAGGGGCTGGTGCTAAAGAGAGGAGTCCTCTTTCTAGAGGACCGGCAAAGGAGGGCATGCCACCAGAGGTTGGCAGCGTGATCCAAGGTTGTCAACCAAGTCAGTGCCATCTTCATGGTGTGGAGGAATGGATGGCAGTGCTGTAAGAAGATCAATGACCTTCTCCACTGTGTCAGGGTAAGTGCCACACTCTTCTCTCTGGATCACTCACTCTATCTCTGTCGCTGCACCTGCCTCCCACCAAGACTCGTGCTCTGTCACTTTCATTATTGCCTGCAACATCTTCGCTCTCACTGTCCCCAACACCGTAATCTCCTACACCACTCACCCTTCATGCCTTGTTGAGCAGCTTACTCAGTCACTGGGGCCACCTTGCCACCTTTCTCCCACTTGCACCGGGTAATAGCTGTGCCATCCCCTCACTCCTTTTCTTGTGCTTCATTTATACCAACAGGGAGTATGATGGAAATGTCCCCCACTTGCCTGCTTGAGTGGATTATCAACAGCACTCAGAAAGTGTGACACCACCCAGGACAAAGCAGCCCGCTTGATTGACACCACATTCACAAGCATCCACTCCCTCCACCACCGATGCCGCTGTGTAGAGCAGGGTGTATATCTACAAGATGCACTGCAGAAATTCACCAAAGATCCTTAGATAGCTCCTTCCAAACCCATGGCCACTTCCATCTAGAAAGAAAAGTGCAGCAGATACATGGGGACCCAATCAGACGCAAGTTCCCCTCCAAGCCACTCACCATCCTGCCTTGGAAATACATCACCATTACTTCATTACATCTAATCTCTGAAGAAGGGTCCTGACCTGAAACGTCAGCTTTCCTGCTCCTCTGATGCTGCCTGGCCTGCTGTGTTCCTCCAGCTCCACACTGTGTTATCTCAGACTCCAGCATCGGCAGTTCTTACTATCACCACTACTTCACTGTCGCCGGGTCAAAATCCTGGAATTCCCTACCTAAGGGCATTGTGGGTCTACTACATCAAAGGATTGCAGTGGTTCAAGAAAGTAGCTCACCACTATTTTCTAAAGGGCAAGAAGGGCTAGGTAATAAAAACTGGCCCAGCCAATGATCAAGGTCCCCTGCACGGGTGCACAGCCATTCCGATGTTCCACGCACAATAATCCGTGTCAGCTCGCTAACCGTGACATTGACCTCCAATTCCACAAGTTACTGCTGCACACATGCCTTGCAGCTTGGAAGAAAATTCGAGGGAATGCAGCCACTGACATCTACATTCCCCCTAGTAAACAGAAAAAGAAAGTACAACAGAAAGCAGCCCCTAAAAGGGGCTTGGCTAGACCATTACCCAATATGAGGCTCCTCTGCTCCTGTGAGGAGAGAATGCTGACCCCGACAGGAGAAGACTGGAATCACTCCTGTCAGATGCTGAAACCCACCAACACAGCAGGTACCACTCTTCACTCCACTGCAACTCTCATGGTAACCCTATTGTCGGTACCATCCACTGCACACCACTTCTAATTATTGACCACAACACCTCCTTTCTCTTTATTTGCAGGTACTGTCAGCATGTCCACTACCTCTGCAGTGAAAAGGATGGCTCCCCTATAAGCCACATCTCCACCTCTGAAGATGAGAATACCGAGTCCTCAAAGAAAGCATCAGCAAGGCTGCCTCCTGCACCCTCCCCCAGCTCAGATACTGATACCTTGTTGGGAATTTTTGTTTTAGAAAGTGTAGGATCACATCCTGGTGAGCAGCTTACTGTGACAGCTCTGCAACCTGGTCGACGAAGAAACATGCCAGACCACTGGCACCCAGAGGTCTGCTAGAGAATAAGCACCTTCTCAGCTGCCAGAGAAGCATACATTGCTGTACTCCATCCCCCAGCCATTGGCCCTCAGGGTCGGAGGTATGGTGACAGGAGGATAGGGAATCTGACATACATTCCAAGTACCCCTTCCTCAAAAGGACACAGGGCAGTTGCACCCAGCCAGGAACCACATAAATCTCCAATCAGGCCAGGCTCTCCATCATGCACCCTGCCTATCCCTTGGAAGTTCATGCTGTGGACAGTCACTTAGCATCTGGCATCAAGACCTTTGGCATGTCTGAACCATCCAGACACAAGTGCTCCTGAAGTCACCCCACCAAACCTCCAGGGCCAACTGGTCCCACTGGTGATCATGCTCCCTCTATCAAAGCTGAGGAACCAGGGAGTGCACTAAGAGGAGGAAGAGGAAGAAGTAAGATAACAAGGTGTGGAGCTGGATGAATATAACAGGCCAGGCAGCATCAGAGGAGCAGGAAAGCTGATGTTTCAGATCTGGACCCTTCTTCAGAACTGGTCACTGGACCCTGGACCCGAAACGTTAACTCTGCTTTCTCTCCACAGATGCTGCCAGATCTGCTGAGTTTCTCCGGCAATTTTTGTTTTCGTTTCAGCTTTCGAGCATCCGCAGTCCTTTGTTTGTTGCTTGCACTTTATTGCTAGTTCTTTGTCACTGTGTAGCCCCAATGTCATTGCTCCAACATGAGGTATATCTTCATGGCCATCTATGATATTTCCAATAATAGATGTCTGTGTTGAGAATCTGTTGCATTGTCTGGAAGCAAAAGGAATAAGGTGTACAGAATAAGCTGGTGACACCTTTGGCCCTCGTCCTACAACATCCCCATTCTTTCCCAGCCTAGGTATGCAATAGCCTTGGTGTGAATGAGGAGGTCAGTGATGTCTAGGGCAGGGAGGTAGGTGTATAACAATCAGGGGGCCAATGCATTAGGAAGGACGGGGTGGTGGGGTGGTGGTAGGATTAGTGCAGGTCTGTGTTTTGCACAGCGCATGTGTCTGTGTGTAATGTTCTTTCCCTTTAAACACCTTCACATCAGAGGATGTTGCAGCTCCGTCCCTAACAGGTCAGGACACCTATCCCACCCATTTCACAGTTATTTTCTTCTACATTGTGCACTTTCGATTACTAGTGTGACGGAAGGCGACAGCAAGTGGTCTCCAGTGAATGGCTTCCTGCCCCTGCTTCTACTTGTCAGTGAGCCACCAAAATCCTTTCCCAATTGCCCTTGCCATAAATCCCATTGGCTTTGCAGCTCCCCAGGTCCTGACCCAACCTATCCACATGAGTTTGTACCTGCTCACCAGCATCGGGCATATGAGATGACCATGCCAGGTGTAGCCATCTAATGACCTGCCCTTGAAGCCATGGCCCCCTTCAAATCAATGCTTTACCATATTCCTCTCCCACAGATACTGCTGTCCACTCCACTCCCTTTCTTCCCCAGCTCCCAGCCCCAAGTCGTGATGAATAATTCAAGTCTCCTTCTTACAGTTGCAGCCCCCTTGTTCCCCACCACCATTCCCATTTCCTCTTGATTTCCACAGAAGGACCCAGTGCACTCTCCATGGCCCACCTCTTTGAGCAATCTAACTGGACAGTCCTGGATGAGAAGTGCCCAGCTGGTGGTTGTACATTTCCCCAATCACATTAACCCTATTACCCTGTCCATTACTGTCCATTATGGAGCCATAGGACCCAATTCCAGGACTGCAGAAACACGACCCCCAACCCCCTTACCCAAAAATGAGATCACTCCAATGGATGCCAGACCATGGCCAATCGCCTGGATTAGTACAGGAGGCTGCCCTTGGCCTACTGTACCTCAACTCCAATGACTGAAGGCTGCCTCCATGGACTTCAATGAGGACGACTACACCACGACTTGGAAACATGGCTGCCTGCTTGCTGCCCATGCAGTGTGATTGTCATGTGAGCTACTGTCACATGGTGCAGGTGATCGCTTGACATAGCACACTGCTGCATAACAAGATGCACACCACTTTGACTGAGAACTGCTGTTCAGCAAGGCAAGCTGCCTAGTTGTGTGACTGCACTGAAGTCATGGTAAGGCAAGGCTGGGAGAGTGTGAGCATGCATGTAGGTGCATGTGAGCTTGAAGGGAGCAAGCAAGCAACCTGAGATGTAGCCTGGTCTAATGCATGAGCTGGGTCCCTGTCCTTGCATGCACAGTGTCCCTGCTGCAGCCTTTCAATGAGAGTTACCAGTATGCCCTGAAATGCAGATCTGTGCTTCCTGAGTAACTTGCATGTGTATTGGAGATGTGCCATGATAAGTGTTAGTGATTGGAAAAGTTGTGATGCCAATGTCTTTGGAAGAGGACAGGATGTGGGTGGCACCCATTGAGCATGCCTTGAGATGCTATTTGGTCATACACAACATGGAGGTTCCTTTTGTAGAGCCATGGAGTCTCCCACTCTGATGTCTATGTTGTGTTTTCGTGACATCGGTCTTGTTTGGTGATTTTGGTATGATAGAAAGCTGAATATTAATGAGACAATTTAGGGCTGTTAAACACATTGTTAATAAGCAATAATCTACCTCAATTGGCAACTCACTGCTGACTAGCAAGAAACTTGCCTCATCACTTTTCAAAGCATTTAAGATGGAATACGATGCTCCCAGTGTAAAGGGCTCCCTGGACTTCTTGGCTTCTGTCACAAACTGCGCTATTGCCCATGTCCCTCAGACCCCTATAAGATTCTGCCCAGAATATATTATTGCCTGATTTCTACCTTTTTTTTTTTATAACACAATAATATGGGGTTTTGCCCAACAAATTGATTAATCAGAGCTCACTGTAAATGATTTCAAGGAAATGTCAAGGGCAATTAAGAGTGGGCAATAAATGCTGGCCTTGCCATCCATGCTCTCATATCATGAAGAAATAAAGAATAAAAAATTGCCCAAGATGGAAACATTTTCAACTTTAAAGCTGAAACTGAAGATAAAAATTGAGTAAACTGAGTATAAAACCAGAGTGCAACTCAACAGTAAAACAGGGTAAAGACACTTCCTCCAAAATTCCTGTAGGTTTCAACTTCCAATGAAGTGAGGGTCTGAATCTGAATTCAAGCTACATTTACAGTCCAATTGTAATATCATGAGGATGGAAAAAGTTTGCAATAGTGCCATTGTCGTAGTGAGAATGCAGCCCAAAAGAACACATGGTAACCACTTAAGAAGCATATATCATTTTCAACTCATTCATTTTTCTATTATAAGAGCTCAGTGTGGCCTCTGAAATTGCTACCTCTCTTTTTGGACTGAAGAGATTGGAGTTTTCAGAATGAAGTGAATGAATTCCATGCAGACTTCAAACAAAACATTCATCCCATTTTGGAGTATGAATCCCAGCAGTACCTGTCAGGAAACCTCTGCATGTATCTTTTTGCAATCAACTTGGGCCTTTACATTCCAATAGGAAAATGAAATGTTGTCAAGCCTCAGGTTGGTCAATGTTCTTGCATGTAAAATGAAATGCTGCACCAGAATGGTGGCTGTCATATGAAAGGACACAAGGTCTGTAAGGTCAAGCTTCTGTACTGTTTTGACACTCCTGCCACAAGTCAGATAAGTTAGAAACATGCCAAATTAAGCGATAGTTGAGCTGATTTTACTTTGGAACTTTGCCTTACATATAGTTATTCTATAATTTCAAGTATAGCTCATGGGGGATTAAAGCACCTTTTTGCCCAATTCACCTAAGGTCATCAGACAATTTCAGGTAGTTTAGTTATGTTGCTGCAGATTATAGAACACTGCCAATGCACAGTGAAAAAGATACTAAAGATATGTTCCCTAACAATTTCCAGTGCAAAAGTAATTTGGTTTTGAAATATAAACAAATGGTGATCTTTTTGATCTAAGATATCAGCCTAGGAAGTACACAATGTGACATTAATGTTTAATATTTTACATGTTCACCTGAAGCCAAACACTTTATCATAAATGTTAATTCATTGAAATAAATCAGTAGATCTACATAGAATTAGTTTTGTTGATTCTTCTGAAAGATTGAGCTTGATGTTCGTTTTTCTCATTTGTCCCTCTTTGTCTCTGTGTCTCTCTTTGACCAGTTGTGTTTCTCTTAACCAATGAGTTACATCTGTGTGATGTCTGCACCTTCCTGCATTTATTGTCTCTGTGTCTACCTGTCTTTCTTTGTCGGTTTTTCCTTTCTTGGGAATTTCTGTTCCTCTGTCACTGTAATGTCTGGATGATTGTTTTGTACTCACTGATTTTTCTCTCACTTGATAACAACGTGTTTGTAGTTGTCTGATTGTTCTCTATCCAGACTTTTCTTGGATGATCTTTGTTTCTCTTTGTCTCTGAGCCAATAACTTCTGTCATTAGGATCTCTGTGTTCTGCCAACGCAGTTTCTTATGAAACTATGTTTCCCAATGTACATTCAAGATGAAAAGGAGCTATTGTGGAGCAGTAATAGTGTTCATGCCTTTGGGCCAGAAGCTCTGTTCAAGTCCTCTAGCAGGATTTGTTGGCCATGGAAGCATGCTGTTAACATGGCCAGATAAGTTGATTGTCAGCCTGTAATAACTTCTAATATAACCCATACAGGACTTGGAACTGGGAGATAAATCAAGTCCCAATAAGTGAAGCTCTGGGCTCTGAGTGTCCACTTTGTTCGGCTCAGAGGTGGAGCACTAAAGGGCTGGACACCAGGGAAAGGGGCAGCACCAGACCCTGTGACTTCTATCTCTGACCTGGTTTGAAAGCAGCTAAGAGGGCCAGAGCCTCCTAGTGAGCCACCCTGAACAAAGTAATGGAAAATTACTTCAATACTTATTCCTTCAGCTAATTGGATGTACATGGCTCAAGCCTCGGAAACAAGGATGGGTGAAAAGACAGACAGATATTTAAGATGCGCTGGAGTTCCTGCATATTTGTTCGCTTGTTTAAGTAAAATTCAACCTTTTTCAGGAAACATTTGTTGGAAATTGTTAAAATTTGACACTCATGTTTATTAATCATACCAAATACTTCTTGCAATAAAACATTTTTACATTTAGAAAACAGTATGTAACTCTGGTTGCACCTCCTAGGGAATGCTCCCTGGTTAAAGTTCTGCATTTGGTCAGGGCTCTAGGTCATCCAGGAGCTAGCCACAGAACTGGTAATAACTCTTTTGTAATGTCATCAGACAGAGAAGTTCTCTGCCATCGCCTATCTAAGGTGGATCGTTGGCTGATAGTGATTGTACCTGGTCTGTGTTTGCTGATGTGCACTGGTTTGGGTGACGACAGATGCCTATGTGCTGAAAATCTGATCCTAATGTTAAATGTTAAAAGAGTTTCTGAAACAGAACAATTGCAGGAAATTCCCTTATGATGCTCTGTAGTTTGGGGGACAATATTATGAATTCAGTTTTTAGGCACAAGGATTGAATTACAACATTTGGAATCTAGGAAATTTGAATCTAGCACAATTATGTTCCCGGCTTACTTTTTCTTGACCATTTATATTATGTTCTCTGCCTCTGGGTGCATAGAAAATCTTCCCTTCCCTCACCATCTTTGTCCTGATTTGTATATTTTGCCGTCCCAATCGCTAAGTGTTCTGGAATGGGTTCCAGAAATCTGTTGTCACCATCTTAGTATCTATCAGCATCCATTCCAGTGAGATATTCAATTATTTACCATAAATTATGCAGGCAGGCAGTGAGGAATATTTAATTATGAGCTGAAGAGACAGCAGCATTGGATTTTAGGGAAGAAGGTAAAATATCCCAGATTAGGTGAGCAGACAATAGCAGGAAATTTCAGCAAACAGCCGAGACTTCTTTTATTTATATCTCAGGAAGCAGAGAGCACCATTAAATTCTAGCAAACAGAAGGGTAATACATTTATGTATACTCCAGTGAACAGACTGCAGTAGAAGGAAAAATGAGCAGCAGAAAACATTTAATATTTATATCTAGGAGATCAGGCAGCACCATTAATTTCTTGGAACAAACACAGCAATATATATTTATCTAAAAGGGGCAGGCAGCCCTGCTACAAGAAGTGACAATTTATTTGTTTATCGGAGAAGAAACAACCACAGCAAAAAATAATTAAGGAGATTTCAAATTTAATATGAAATGAATTTGAGGATGGGGACTTATTTATAAAGTGGATAAAATATATAAAAGAAAAATCACTAGCAATGGTGAGAGAAAACAAACAAAATGGAGACTGTTGTTTGGAGCTGCTTCGAAGTGTCATTGCAGTGATTTCAACCTGCACCTACACTGTCACGGGCAAGAGTTTACATAGGAAAATTGTCATTCTAAATGGTTGTGTACTATCTTAGCACTGTAACTGGTTGCTATAAAAGTATAACAAAATATCATGACAACAACAGGAAGTGTGTGCACATCCGTATTTTAATAACATAAATAGATGGGTTATGGTCATAATGAAAGAACTATGGAAATAATTTCAAACAAACCTACAAACAATTAAACGTTAGGATATTTGTAGTGAGGTAAAATGCAAATGTTTGTAAAATACTGTTCACCATCTTTTTACAATTGGTCTATAATGTTTTCTGCTAAACACAGATGATTAAATGCCATAATTGGTATTAGCTCAGACTGTGTCCTGAAGTCAGACAATTATATTATTGTAGTCTATCATTATCTATGATCAACAGCTATCATTATCTGTGCAATGTAAGCACCTTTACCTGTGTTAAGACCATGCCAAAAAGGCAATGAAACAACATTATATGAGTAAGAATAATCAGATTATTTTCCCTGTTAAGTTGTTTCCTTAAATCCTAATATATGCCACATTGTTGAACAGCATTTTTCTAGTTAAAAAATTTCTAGGAAATGGTCAGCTCCTAAACATTTTCTAATTCTTGTCTGTTCCAGGACATATGACTGTATGCAACTTTCTTGGGCTACTTTACCTCTGGTCTCGTCCTGTGAAGGAATATTGCATCTTATCCCATCATTTCCTCACATGATGAGGAACTCATACTGAAAGACAAGCCATCATTTGGCAGTGTGTTCATGGAACAGTGTTGTGAGACACTGCATCATCCTTACATAGTGAATATGCATTAAGAATCCATCAGTTCTACTGGATTATTATAGTCCATCTAATTCAGGAAGATTTGCTTTGAAAATTCAGTACTTGTTGGTACACAGCTTTAAAACACAAAGTTGTTTCAAAAAGATCCTTGGATGTCTAAAGTAAATACTGTTCAATATAATTCCAAATCCCATATATGGGCACAGCGGATGACTTTTTGTGGATAATATTTTTTAAAATAAAACTGTTTGTGACATGTTTTCTGTAACCTCTGAATTTTATGCAATTATATCACAAATCCTGTGGGAAATCGCAATGGTAGGATTATTTGGCTTTAAAAAACATTCCACAATTGTAAATTAATTAAATTAAAACATTCGAATACACTAAACACACAGTTTTCAGAATGTCTTACGCATTTACAATGCTTTTAAGTTCAGCAAATAATTGAGCTATCTACTCTAAGCAGCTTTGTTTGGGCATAAGAGAGCATGGAGACTAGTGAAGGGAAATTTCTACTTGAGCTGATACTTACAGGTAGTATGAGTAGGAATAAGCACTCCTCCTGCCATGCGTGAACAGTTGAAGGGATAAATGATGGGAAAGCGATGAAAGGGAAAAATAAGAAAATAAGTTATTAAGGAATTTGCATAGTAAAAGTCAGGGGATAAGGATTGTACAGATAATGACAGTCACCTTGAAGCTTGTTGCAACAAAAGTGCAAATAACGTCAAATACTGAATTAATAAATCTATGTTGTTTATATGTCTAATGGAACCATAGTTTAGTTCTTTCATTTTATTGACAACAGTTTGAAGGGGAATGACACAAGGACTAAAAGGGACTGCAATCTGTCTTATGTTAATGCCTTTGGAAAGCTTGATGTATTTACGGTTATATTATTCTTAAGGATTGTTTAAAAATCTGTCTGAGAATGACCACGGAGATCATGGAAGATGGGGAATGAAACCAATCTCAGACCCAGTCCTGTTACGTCTCCCGAAGAAAATAAAGATGGACGATTTTTCATAGAATTGTACAATGCATGAGGTGAAGACATTGTAAGCAAATTGCATTAACCCAAAGAAATCTCAAAGATAAATTATGCATTCGAGTTTGGAAATAACTTACCATTAATAAAATTAAAACAAATTAAAATAACTATTAAATGAAGGATTATTAGGTTTCAAAGTGAAACACATATGTATCTAATTTGTAAAGATTAACATACTAAAATTTGCCATTCTAACATTTCCCAAAATGTCAAAACTGTGCACTAATCTGTTAAATATGTGCCACATACTTTATCAATTGGGAACTAGACAGTGTCTGTCATAGGGAAGAATGATGCATCATCTCATTGAAATTCTACTGCTTGTCAGAAATAACATCCTATGTAGGATACAATGATCTACTTGCTGGCTTACTCAATAGCGAACGATGGTTTGGAATTAAGTAGACATGGGGGAGGCAGAGGTAAAGGAAATAAAAAGAATCTGCACAACTGAGGGGCTTTTCAACAAGATTATATCTAGTGTCAGTCCTGTTTATTTTATTTCATGTGTGGCGTTAAAATAGTTTTGAGTCATTTCTACCAGTAACCTTCTGTGAGTTGCATCAATAGCAAACTCTAGAGACGCACTGCAAAAATTGATTAAATCAATTCTTCCTCTGCACAATTATCATCACAGTCAATTTATCTTACATGAGCCACATCATTTGTGATAGAATTTTTCTCCTTAGTTTACGGCACTAAAGCTGACTTAAATAAATGCAAATTCAATTTAGTAGTATTTTGGAAAGTTACAATACCATCATTATTCTCAGAAAACTATTTTTGTACTTCTTGTATCAAGATTACTGCCTTTGTTATCTAACAGAAGGCAGATGAGCACTCAGTGCCATGTTGTTTAAAGTACTCCCCCTTTACACAGGGAAAAATAAAAGCTTATCAAAAACATCTTGGATGTTTCACAAGGTGTCTGTTTTATTGTGTTTAGAGAACCTAATTTGGTCTCTTGTCTCTGCTAGGTCATTCCAGTGTCAACAATTGTGACAAACACAGTCATCTTGATTCAAAGAACTGGGTCTATGATAGGCCTGAAAACAGCTTTCACATCATCTGACCTCCAGAAAAGCAGATTACACACTAGAAATGCCTCATTCTTCTATTTACTACACTTTAGAGCGCTCCCCATCAGGCATACTATCAAGTGATCTGGTCAGGAGGGAGGCCTTAAAATTACGTGAATGCTACATGCCTAAACATAAAATATAAACTTTTCAAGCTTTTTATTTTTGTTATGATTTCCATTCTAATGCCTCTTTCTGCCATGTACAAGTCTTTCAATTGATTTGATAATAGGTATCATTCGAGCAGGTCTCTGCAACTGCCACTGTTTAATGTGGTCAAGGTGTCGTGCAAATTTCTTTGAGTGGCTTATGTGGCCATTTTCTTACCTTTAACTAGAAGTTAATGCCAATCCTCAAGTAGGTATCTCCCTTTGCTGAGAGTTGGCATCAACAAGTCACTGTTGAATCAACTATGGGCATAAACTTAGAGGGCCTTTAGATAAGGCATCACATATTAGATTAGTGAATAGGGTCTGAGCAAGTGGAGTTGGGTGGACAAACTGGGCTTTAAGGCATAAAGCAAATGTCAGAGCAGAAGTGGGAATGGGAATCCCAGAGGATCAATTTGGAGATCACTGTTGCTTCCAACTTATAATGCTGATTTTGACTTAGAAAGTAACAACGTATTTTTTATATTTGCAGTCAAATAATAAATTGGGATGGAAAGTGCATATTCAATATTGACGTGAGTGGGTAGCAACAAATTACAAGAATGGAGAAGGAAGGATCTTGTTGAGGTTTAAGGGGTCTCATCAGCTGACAGCAAAGTGAACAACAGACTAACATTGCCTCAACTCAGGAAGGTTCATGAATTGCATGGGATCACATGACATGGCATCAATTGGCAGGGGCACCAGCAGAGTTTTACTAAGAATTAAAGCCCTGGGCGTGGAAGTCACATCCAGTAAGAATTGTAATGAATTAGGAGCTAGCAGCTCTTGAGCTGATCAGCATCAGAGATGAGGCTTTGGTTGCTGCTGGAGGATCATTCTCAGACTCCCAGGATTGTAGGGGTCCCCAGTGTAAATCCTGCCTCCAGGTAGTGTTTGGTGCCTCCAAATTTATGATAATTAGCCTGTGTGAATGTGACAGTTGCATTACCAGGAATTCACCAGTATGTTGGCCTCCTAACCCTCCATCGGCAATTTCATCCATAGTGTGCGTCTCCATTTATTTGTTAAAGCAAATCTAGCAGGGGTCAACATAAACTAACCACAAAGAAATCAGAGAGAGATGTGAGCATGCGGAACTATTTCCACAGGGATTGACTGAGGTCGAAGTGTAGATACAATCAAAAGGAAGGGAAGTAAATATATGCGGAAGTCTGAACTGAGGGGGATGCCAACTGATTTAGATGAGGAAAGGTGTGTGGAGTCTTAAACAGACCACAAATCAAGATCTGTTTCTATGCTGCATATCTTATGTTACTCTATGTAATCGTATATTTGTCACCGTGTAACTCTGGACATCAATGTGACATGTCATCTTGTTGAGCTTAAAAATACATTTTTTTATTTGCAAAATCAGAAAATGTTGCAATACTGCATAACGATATGCATACAGCAAATTGAGAAACCACTGAGAAATGGCACTATTTCAAAGCCTGGGAGTATCCCCAATATATCACAGCAACTTGTTTTGGTGCAAGCAGCCATGTTTATGTTCATGATAATAAACCAATGCAGATGTAGACTTTTTCTGGGCTTTTTCCTGGGAACCTTAAACACTTTGTGGTTTTAGAAAATGGGATCATTTGGAAAAGGGGCTTTTAAATAAATACAAGTAATTATGCTTGAGTATTTTTTACTCTGTGCATCATTGGGCAGAAAGTAGGTTTCGTACATAATGAGTAGTAAATTAAGAGAAAGAGACTCATGAGAGATAGAGGGAGTTGAGAAAAATAAGGGTAAGTTTGGGGTTGGCACAAAACATGCTTGTGGATTTTTGTGGCTGTAGATTCCATGCTTATTAATACTTTAGCATAATCTTTTTTCCCAAAAAAACTACTATGATAAATTCAAATCCTAAACCTCATAGATTGCAGTGGTACCGTCTGCCTACGAATTTATATGAAATCAAATCCCAATCTATGTCACTTCAGCTTTACAATTCAGTTCAAATCTTCCTCCACAGTCATCATGTAGGCAGCAAACCTGACTTCCCTCAGGAATTAAACTTTCGATTGTTGACAGATTGGGGCAAAAATAAGTTTGATAAGCAGTGGAGAAAAGGCTTCTACTTGTAGCACTACAACGTGCGATAGGGGTGTGTTGCTGATGGAGGTGAGAAATTAAACCTTGTCAGAATGATGTCTATTTTCATCATTGTCCTGTCTATAGTGATATAAGAAACAGGTACATGTCTGCAGAAAGAATTTTTAATCTGCCCCTGGAGAGTCCCAATCCTGCGACTATCAATTTAATTTGCTTAGGGGCCATTATTATCCCAAGGAGGCTTTTAGCTAAGTACTTAGTGAGTACAATTGAATGCCAAACACTTTCAAAGTGACATCTTCATCAAGGACAGTGCAAATGTTAAATGGTCATTAGTAGAACTGGCAGCACAGCCGATCAATGATTAAACACCCAGTAAAGCGTGATAGCCAAGGGAAACAACCAGCTGGTTTAACAGCGAACCAGCTGGTTTAACAGAGAACCATTTATCTGTCACATTAAATTGACTTAAAATGTATTTGGTGGATTACACATTAGTGCAATTCAGTTCCCAGTTTTGCTTCACACAGCTTTTTTTTTAATCAATTTAAAGACTAAACTATGACTTTGAAGTAAACTGACTACTTGTCTTTGCACGTGAATGCTAAGCATGGGCACTGTATTCTAGAAAGAACAAGGGACTCCCTACATTTATTAAATGGGTTATTCCTAGTAATCTGCTGAACAAATGTATTCCAGTATCCTTTCAGATGATGAGTGTTATTTTCAAATCAGCCATTAGCTGCTGTGAATCCTGCTCCCAAAGCTATTGCCAGAGTGGACATTTAAATAAATCAATTACAGACATTCAAATTTTGAAAGCCAGCAGCTCTCATATTTTTTTCAGTTGATCCAGTTTAGTAGTAATGATCTTGATAAAACTTTGATATTCTCTTTCTTTATATACGAGCTACAATACTTTGTTTCCTTGTAGAATAGTATGGAAGGGTAAATTCACAACTCTCACTTTCTCAGTGCTGCAGTCCTATCTATGACCTCAACTCTTACTGAGCACTCCCTGTGTTCAAAGGAAGGGCAGGGTGAAAGTAGATTCACAATATTTGTTACAAGACCAGATCACACCCCTGAAGTACTGAGGACATTTTTAACTTGTAATTCCAAAATGTGTTTCTTAGAAAAGAAGGGCTGATGCAGTCATGAGTAGCTGTGGAGGTAAATTAAGTGGCTGTTTGGAGAGAGAGAGACCAATGGGATGTAA